CGTCAAAAGAGTTTATAAAGCATATTGAAGAAAAATACGGTATCTAAAAAGATTGCACCTTCTCTTTTATAGGATGTGATAAATTATAACTGTAGATCGCTGGTGGCGTCCGTGCCCTTTTTCGCCAACGCCGATTCGAATTTCGTCTCGGATGTCGTCACGAAACTCAGATACGAAGTCTTCCAGCCAGGTATCGATTGTCGCTATCATTAAAAACGCGTTTTCTGTCACACACATAAAGCATCTCGTTTAGCGTCACGGCACGGAAAGGTATTTCCTTGCGCGTCGCTCAAAGAATCCTACGTGTCATTTAAGCGGAAATGAATTTACAGGTGATATCATCATTAAGGAGGGTACTATCGGCTCGAAAATGTACTTCATACAAGAAGGCATAGTCGATATCGTAATGGCGAACGGCGAAGTCGCGACCTCGTTGTCGGACGGATCTTACTTCGGCGAAATCTGTCTATTAACGAACGCGAGGAGGGTAGCGTCGGTCCGAGCGGAGACTTATTGCAATCTCTTCAGCCTCTCGGTGGATCATTTCAATGCCGTGCTGGATCAGTATCCGCTAATGCGCAGAACGATGGAGAGCGTTGCCGCCGAGAGGTATAAGCTTTGGTTAGGTTTGTTCTATCGAGTTGGTGTGCTAATAGATGTCAATCATCACTCCCACTTCCATTTACTTTATTTGAGCATTGTGTATTGTCCGATTAAACGGAGATCAGTCATTTGCTGCCTGTCGAAATCATGTCAATCTTTCCTCAACATACCGATTCTCGTATGTGTTGTTAGAACACAACGCTTGTATTACACACACATACACATACAACATATCAATGAAATTTTGATTACAAAAAAAAAAAAGATAGAAATAATATTGTCACATATATTGCTCTTTGTGTGACTTCTTGAGCAAGACAATGCAGAATTGGGAAGAATCTGGGACAAATTTATGATGAAAGCGCACTAACTTACGATACTTACAATGAGTTGAGAGAGTTAATTAAATTTTCTTCGAAAAAAATATCTGTTTAAGATATCGATGCAAAAATATAATTAAATTTTCCTCTTTATACTTATATGTATAAAAGGGTAAATATCCAATATAATATATAATAAAGTCGGATATTAACCGATTAGGAAATAATTAAGAATCGTAATTTGAAGTCATGACAAAAGTTTTACACTCTCGACACATTCATTACATAATAATCTTCTTATAATTTGGCATAACATATTTTAAATTATTTCAAATACAATTTTTGTCACACAACCACAAAATAATTATAATATTGTAAATTATTTTCTTGATAATGTTACAATATTTTTTCAAATATTATAAGTTTCTTAATTGATTAATTGAATTAATATATCGACATTATTATATTTACTATTTTCGCATTATCTGTTTCTTGTGACGACAAATCAACATAAGACCTCGTGATGAGTGTGTGGCAAAGATAATTAATTCTTTTATCAGTTAACTTCATTCAATTACCTTTAGCAGTGCAAGTAGTATTAAAACAAATAATAATGACTATTGAGTACAGATGATAAGCGGCAAGCGCTATAATGCGCCACAAAATGGACAAATCGTTGTGCTGCTAAGCGGTTTAGAATTTGGTGTAAATAATAGTATGTTATGCCGCGTGCAACATTCCCTACGCTTAATCATGCTCTCTTTATAGGCTAAACAAAATCGGAAAGAATCCTAACTTGGTGACTCAGCGCGAAGAGGATCTTGGCAGCGAATCAAAAACGATAAACGCTGTAGTAAATGCACTCGCAGAGCAGGCCGCGCATGCCAGCGCCAGTGAAGAATCAGTAAGTATGCTATAGAATGTCAATTATATTATAATTTGTACAGTCTTTTCTTTCTAGCAAAAAAAGAAAGAAAAAAAAGCAAGTTCTTATTCACATAATATATTTTTATCTATAATTTTACCCATTAAATAAAGCAACGAAATAAGTATATTTCCTCTCGTCTTTACAAAAATAAATAAATACATTGTGTCATTTTATAAAATTCATTGTGTCATTTCAGGTACATAGTATGGAGCTTAGAACGCTACCGGCTTGTCTCTTGCCCAGACCAAAGTCTGAAAATAATTTCGCGAGCCAAGAACTTACGAGAGAAGGACGGAGGATCTTCCACAAGAGCGATACTTTCCACAAGGATTCGTATCAATGACGACACTCGTTTTACTAGCATACGCAGAGATACTAACGGCTCCATGTTGGAATAACGACAGAACTTTCTCATCGATAAAACAGCTGGTGGTTTTGTGCCTGGTGCTTGGGCGATTCTATAGCAGCGGTCTATACATAGATATCGGCCATGCCAGTAGTTCTCTAGCAATCGATTTATAGCGCCTTCTTATATTAATCTGACGGCATTTTCGTCCAAGACCGCAAAACTGACCAGAACAATCGAATCTTATGCTCCAACCATGATACAGATCCGTGAAAAAATGCGGCAATTAATATAAATATAATTTATATATGTATGATTTACACACACACACACACACACACACATATATATATATATATAT